AACCCTAGACCCTAAACCCTAATTTTAGTTCTGCTCCGGCTCCTGTTGCTGATGCTGCCAGTCCCGCTGCTGCCAGTACTGCTACTTGGAGGCCCAGGGGACTTAGTAAGTAGGTTGTAAGTAGAGTTACAAGTACCCTAAATGGAGTTACCCCAGTTATAACCCTACTTATAACCGACTTACTAAGTCCCCTGGGCCTCCAAGTACTGAGGGGCAGTGGCACAGCTCATTTTTCCTACGGGTCATCATCCACAAGAGTAGCATGCTGCGGGTCATGTGCGTGCTTTCTCCGACATGTTTCTCTTGCTGTGGTGCTGTTTCACTCTTTTCAGTCTTGTTCTCTTTCTGGACTCTCTGCCTTCACATGTTATGCCTAATTCCGGTGCCCTGCTTGCGCCACCAACAGGGGGATGACAGTTTCATGGATTAGTACTCCGGGTAGACTGTAGGGGTGTGTGGAGAGGCACTATAGTGGCAACCAGAACTGCCTTCGTCCCTTGTTGTCAGGGATCCTCATCAGAAAAACCAGTTATCAAAGACGAGGCACTGCATCGATCGCCCCCGTACCCGCGATTGCACCCTGACGCCAGTTGATTTTCAAACTAGAAATAGGTTTCCGAGAATGTTCCTGTATAGACCCAATACTATAACTTTGCTACAATAAAGGCTACTCAGAAAGTAAGGAACACTCAATGCCACTACAGACCTGAACTTTCAGCCATGCAGCTTAAAGCACCAGAAAGTGCAAAAAAGCTTTCATCCCTAAGGATTACACTGATGAAACCTTTGTTTAATCGATTCTGGGGCATGGAGGATAAGGGGGTTTAAGGAGCCCCTACGACTTACGTAGACCGTTTCAGACTTGACGGCCTTTTACTTTACGCCCAGAGAGCCAAAGTATCCCTTGAATGACCCTAAACCCTAAACCCTAAACCCTAAACCCTAAACCCTAAACCCTAAACCCTAAACCTAATGAAGGAAAACTACCTGAAACCACGTGGACCTCCGGGCCCTCCTGCACCCTAGGGTTTAGGGTTTAGGTTTAGGGTTTAGGGTTTAGGGTTTAGGGTTTAGGGTTTAGGGTTTAGGGTTTAGGGAAACTACCCTTTTTGAGGTTGTAGCTTCTGTCTGTATGAGGTCATCTCCTAAACACGTATGGTTTTGCAGGCATACAACCAGATGTACCCTAAACCCCCTAAGCCCTAAACTCTAAACCCTAAACCCCTACATCCTAAACCATTCGCAAAGCAGGAGTCGAAGGATGGCTCGGCACCGCAGGCGGCACCGACTCCCTATGCCGCTTCACTTTCTTGTGGGATGTGGGTGCGGAGGGGGAGGCCTTGTTTGGGTTTCGGGTTTATGGTGTAGGGTTTAGGGGTTCAGAAACTGAACCCTCAACCCTAAATTAACCCTAAACCCTAAACCCTAAACCTAAACCCTAGTTTTTCAGGTAAAGGCTGCTGCAAAGGCACAGGAACTCTCAAAAAGTGCTGCCTGGCCTCAGATCAAAGACCCTATAAGAATGCTAGTCATATGGGTTTCTAGGGTTCAGGGTTTAGGGTCCTACCAATACTACTACGACTACTAGCGCCAGCAGTACTAATAATACTGCTAATTCTGACACTACTACCGCATACAATTATTTCTACTACTGAGTTTTGATAATAAATGCTGCGAATATATGGCTGCGAATGCTACTAATACTAATTGCTGATCATACGCAGAAAACTGGTAACAGGCAACCCCTGCAACTTAGGCATGGACAGCGCTTGTGGAACTTTTAGCATATCACCCTGGGGGTCCTGTTTTGGCAAGCTCATTGGCTTTGGTACCCATGGAGGGAACCCCGCATCTCACCAGAGGCACACCAGCCTGGCACCCTAAACTGTCATTTTAAACCCTACACCCATTTAGGGTTTAGGGGTTTAGGGTTTAGGGTTTAGGGTTTAGGGTCAAACCCTGATACGTAATCTATCCCAAAGAGCAAGCCGACACGTCCACCGATTGTTTTAAAGCCTGAGTCTTACACCCGCGGACATGCAGCCCAAACCCTACACCCTCAAAAGAGTATATAAACCTAAACCCTGCAGCCTCAGCCCCTATATACTGCATACTATATACTATATGCCATATACCGAACTCTATACGATGTATCGAACTATGTGGGGGTTTCAGACAATAGGGGACCCTAATATAGTGCCCTAATTAATAGGATCCCTATTATAAGGACCCAAAATAAGGTACCCTAACTTTCTGAAACTCCCATGTACTATAACTCAGGTCATGCTGGCATCGGAGCCTTGAGGTCTGCCGATGGCTGATTTTGATCTGATCGCTGTTGGCGACGAGAGATCGAACGCATGCGCGCCTCCGAGCGCTTGGTTTTGACCGCGGAAAAAAGTCGACAGCTGTGGAGAAGCAGGAGTAGCACTAGGTATATCTACCAGAATGATGATCATTGGTCGTATTGTTGTTATTTCTTTCTTTACTCTGCCCTAATTCACGATGAAACCCTGGACCCTAAACTGTCGTCGTCATGGTTATTGATGCTCAGCAGCAGTGTTGATGGGCGGGCCAAATATTGGACTTGGAAGGCTTGGACCGCTGGGGGCCTCTTTCACTGCTTTGGGTTTAGGGCTTCGGGTTTAGGGCTTGGGGTTTAGGGCATTAGGGCTTAGGGTTTAGGGTATAAGGTATAGGGTTTCGAGCTTGGGGCTTAGGGCTTAGGGCTCAGGGTTTAGAGTCCAGTGTTCGGGGTTCAGGGGCCATGTAGCAGAATGGATGTTCTTCATTGCCCAGCCTGCCGGTTCGTTCAGGGGTAGTTCTCTAAATTAGGGTCACCCTAAACCCTAAACCCTAAACCCTTAACCCTAAACCCTAAACCTTAGGCTCCTTTCAATAAAGGTGCCGCCTCCGCTTGGTTTCGTTGGCGGCATCGGGGTTCATCCCCGACGTCAGATTCCTCGGCCCTCAATGGTAGCCAGGTGGGTAGATAGATACCCTAAACCCTAAACCCTAAACCCTAAACCGTCAGATAGGTAGGTAGGTAGGTAGGTAGCTAGGGAGGCAGGGTCTGAATTCTCCATGTTTGCTACACTGTGGCTGCCTGGGTTTAGGGTTTAGGGTTTAGGGTTTAGGGGCTCTCCAGGCGAGTGGCCTTCGCAACTGCATGGGTAAACAAAGATGGGCTTCTTCATCCCCAAGGTTTTGTAAACTTGTAAACAAAGAGTCTGGTTTAGGGTTTAGGGTTTAGGGTTTAGGGTTTAGGGTTTAGGGTTTAGGGTTTAGGGTTTAAGTCTCTTTTTGAGGGTTTGTTTGTTGAACAAGACTATTCAGACATGTGGCCAAGGGGGCTGCCTCAACAGGGGAATTGTGAAGTGCGGATCGCCCGAGGCTACTGCAGGTTTCTATGTTTCCGAAAAACAAAATTGGGCAGGCTTCTTCCAAGGTACTCTAGAGCGCGCACTCGATCCTGTTCCTTCTACCCTAAACCCTAAACCCTAAACAGCTGTCCGGGGAGTTTCTGCCATGTCTGTTGAGGGGCAGCCGCTCTTGGAACTGCCGGAAACGCCGCGCGAAGAGCTCCCAGCTGTGGAGGTGCCCAGGGCAGACGTGGCCCCTGAGAACGAAGATCTCCAAGAAGCCGAGAAGGCGGAAACCGAGATAGTTGGGGATGCTCCAAATACAGGGGCAGAGACGGAGCCCAAAAAGGAGTTCAGAGATCCGACGAGGGAGCTCCAGAGCGTGGAGGCTTTCGTCACTGGTCTTCAGGAGTGGGTCAGGAAGCAGGCGGATTCTGTTTCGCAAGAACAGGACCTCTCCGTGGCCAAGGAGCACATCATAGAGTAGATGATGGTAGATCTGTAGCATGGTATAGTCGGTAATAGTGTAGTATCGTAGAGTAGAGTAGGGTAGAGTAGAGTAGAGTATGGTAACAGATGTTGCGCTGCTGCGTTTTGCAGCATCTTTTACTACATCTCCCTGGCAAACAAGGAGCAGCTCGAGGATCTCATGCAGGAGGTCGTCATCGCCCAAGAGAAGTTGGAGAGCGCGGCGCACCAAGCCCTCGCCTTGCAGCGCGACCTGGCGCTGGCCACGGACCGCTCCCTGGTGCTAAGGGCCGAGGAGCAGGAGCCCTTAGGGACCCCAAAAAAGGACATAGGACATAAGCATTTTATATAGGGATATCCCTGCCTTATTGGGCTTCATTATAAGGGGGTTTATGTGGGATATCCCTANNTTTTGGCTTGTGTGCTTTTTTGGGGCGCTAGGAGCACAGCGGCGCCGTAGAGAAGAAGCAGTTGATCGTCGCAGCGAACGCGCACCTCCGGCAGTGCCTGTGCCGAGATCCCGCCGGAAAGCTCTGGCCGATCTGGTCCACGAAAGCGAGTGATCTCCAAGAGTACGGCCCAGGCATCTCTCTCTACTTCAACTTTACCGTGCGCCTTGGCATCACCTTCTTTCTCTGTAGCATTCTGGTGCTGCCGCTGCTCTTGCTCAGCCTGGTGGGGAACGGGCTTGACAACATCGATGCGGGCACGGGAGAGCTGGGGGTCTCCCGGCTGTTTAGGTCAGCCTCCTTTTTAACACGCAAAAAAATATGACCTAACCCCCGAAAAGCCCCTAAACCCTAAACC